TGAACTGAACAATGATTGTGCCCTTACGGGTTGCAATGGTGAAGCCAACTTTTGGCGGGTAAGCCAAATTATTGCAGCGGGTCACTTAGTGACCCGCGGGTCATAGGTTGCCAACCACTGGTTATATGTAAGTCATATAAAGCATATACGCCCTTGCTTATAATATTTTATGCTGTAGATATTAAAATAAGTTATATATTCTTTAATAATCTAAGCTGGCAAAAAAAAGGGACCAAAACTGAACAAACTGCCTATAATTTAAGCATTTTCCATAGCTCTCATGCACACTTTGAATTTTTCCAAGACTTTTAAGGCCTGGAAATTTTGGTCTTTAAGTTGCAGAACCTGTAAGAGCCCTGTTTATGAGTAATGAATTGATTGTGTTTAGCTGCATTACTACATCCTAAATGTAGATAGTTGAACTCTTGTTGCATAGTTTTAACCAAAGCTAGCTTTTCGTGTCTATCATTTAGGCTAAGCATATTCTGGCTCTGTTTATAATGCAGACGTCCCACTTATACATAATCTTCCTCTCACTGCTGCTCGAAGGTTTGAAGAGTAGCAGATCGTGCTGACATTGCCTTTGAAACTATTGCTTTTGGTATACGAGCAATATATACAGTCTTGATTACAGATGCACTTCCTCTGCTATTATCCTTTGTTTGTAGTCTGTTTAATGCTTCTGGCAGACATAATGCCTGGACCCGAAGCATAGTAGGGGTGGTGAAAACACTATACACCTGATACTGAGGTTGATAGGACTTGTATTTTTAGTATTCAAGTTCTTTTACTTAAAAGAAGGAGTTAAATTGCCTATTAAAACTAGCAGGTGTGTTAACCCTTTTGTTCAAATGCAGCAAACATATCACATCTTTCAAATATCTTCAAGATAGCTAAAAAAGTCACACATTCACTACATATGTTGAAAGGTAAATAAATATTTAGTCCCTCACCTGTATCAAAACAACAATTTCTCAATACTCCCACAATCCCTGCACGCCTTATGCTTGAATCCATGTAGGTAGTAAAAGGCAACAACTGTTGAAGTAAGCAGCGGTTTCGATCCATTATCATTCTGGAAAGGTAGAATATTTTACAAAGTATTTATTATACCTAACACTAATAAGAAAGAATGACACAAGAAAGCTAACTTTCAGTGAAATTTATAAAGGCTATTAATACATGTGCTTCTTTCTATCATGTTCTAATAAGAGAACTAGGACCAATAGGTGGCATTCTCGTGTTTGTATGAAGTCTACTAAAACCTTCAGAAATTGAACTACCTAATCATTAATAAAACAGCTCTTGATACATGATAATAGTTTACTTTTTATTCATACATCCTCTAATTGTTTCAAGTTTCAAAATTTGTCAGCACCTACTATATATATAAATTAGAATTCAGTTTCAGACTGCATGTAATAATGTGATATTTCCAGATATAAATGTTTGGTAAAATTATTTCCTTTTTAATAAGAATGGTTCTGCTACTTTGTATCATCAAATAAAAGCAAACAATTTATTCAGTTCTGTTTCATAAGTATCAACTTGTAAGAAAAAAAAAAGCCATGATGTCTTACTGTGCTCACACATAAAAAAAAATGATGCTAAAGGTTGAACTAAGGTTTACTTGTCTGTTTTTTATAAATATATTATGCAACATAGCTCTTATAAAACTGTACCTTTTAAAAACAAGGCAACATGTAACATACCATACACTTTATTAGCATGGCTGTGTGGTCTATCACTGATAGTTGTTTATCAAAGTATGCTTTATATGTTCAAGAACATGCTCTCTTTTTACCTGTGCTATAAAAAAAACATACCCGGGACTTAAGATTATGTTTCTATAGGATCAGTTATGCAAGTTGTACTAACTCTTGGACAACGGGTAGTTGTGTCAAGTTACATAACACGGATGCTACATAATGGTAGTCTGAATGGCGGTCCACATCACATAACACTTCTACTAGATGCTCCAATCGCAATCTCTCTTTTTGAAGATATGGTAGTACCTGTTCACAGCAAGATTTCCAGTGGGTGATATTAGATATAATTCTACATGATAAATCAGCATGTTTGTCTTTCTGAATAATCCATTGGAAAAGTTGGTCAATAATTGGAATATCTTTAACCTTAACTATACACTGAGAAAATGGTTCTTCTGATGTCAAGTTTATCAGGCATTTTAAAGCATTCTCTCTCAAAGATTCCTTTTCTTCTTGAAGCAGTTGGCACAAAACACTCACACATTTTTCACTTGCTTTCAAAAGACAGTTCAGACCATCTTTTGTACCTGTTAAACCTGATAAAGAAAATTTTGAAGAATTATGAAGGTGCAAATATACGAAAAGAACAAAACAATTAAAAAACTAGCATTCATTTTCAAATCCCAAATAATCAACCATTTTGATTAATGTTTACAAAATATTCTAGATATTTTAGTCAAATCTATATTTTTTAAGTCATAGTTACACAGAAAAATATAAAGTAAAGGTCATACTTCACACAACAAAATTTCCTTTAACATGGTTTATCAGTTTCCTTGCAATAAAAACTACAGTTGATCTTAATTAACATGGTTTAAAAACTTTCTTACAATAAACCACAAAATAGAGTTGTTGATAATTTACATAGTTTGTCTCAATAACATATAAACTAGATATGTCAAGTTTGGTGATAACTGTTCCAGCTGTATATGTCCAAGATTGGTGACAATCGTTCCAGCTGTATATGCCAAGATTGGTGACAATCGTTCCAGCTGTATATGTCAAGATTGGTGACAATCGTTCCAGCTGTATATGCCAAGATTGGTGACAATCGTTCCAGCTGTATATGCCAAGATTGGTGACAATCGTTCCAGCTGCATATGCCAAGATTGGTGACAATCGTTCCAGCACCCACACACACCAACTTTAGTCAAATAATGGTTTAGAAAAAAGGATGGGTTTTAAAAATGTGTATTTTTAATTTTCTTTAGGAGTGGGTGTGCTTATATAGCCTTGAAAGAACAAATCATCTTTTATTGTCCGTATTTTATTGGTTTAGCATGTCTTTTAAAATCTCTTCATAATTCAAGGCTGCCCTTGCACACTTGCCCCTGAGAAAAATGAAAAATCTAAATTTTATTTCAGGAAATTATTAATTCTCCTCTCAAACTCTTAATAATGTGCTTACCTCACTACTGCTGATGACAACTCATTTCATAAGCTAATTATGCTGTTATAAAAATAAACATTGTCTTAAATGGAACCAAGCATGTCTTTTTACAAATATTAAACTTGTGTCCTGTCATCCTGTTCTCTTCAGAATAAAAAACAAATAGGAAGCCTTTACTCTGTTGATTCCACTGAATAATCCTGTAAACTTTAAAATGGTTACCTCTCTTTCTTTTCTCAAGAGAAAATAGATCTTATCATAAGGCACCCCTTACCTAGAATAATCTTAGTGGCCTTCTAAGTCCTTGTTACTATTACTACTATTGAACTTTATATATTACTGTCTGTATCTATAAATCAGGATGATTAAGAAACAAATATTTACCTAACAAATTCTTTAAAATATGTTCTCTGAAAACCTGTGATTCTGATTTTTCAAGTATCTGTAACAATTCCTCTAAAGCTGAGTCCTCCATCTTCCTGAAATAAAGAAATTTTGGATGAATTGTCTCCCAGTAACTAATCGCAGGAACAAACCAAAAAAGCTAAGCTTAAATAACTAGCAGACTAAGTTAAGTTCACACCTTTTCTTAATAAAAAAATATTTCAATATTTTTATTTATTCAGTTAAAGTTTTAATTATTCATTTTTTAAATTAAACTTTTAAAATATTTTTAAGTGTGGATTTCAGTGAACTATAAAACCTAAAAAATAATAATAATAAAAGAATGTTCTATTTTGAATTGATGCTAGGATTTAATTACTTTACCCAGTTTATCTCTCAATATATTTCATACAAAAGTGAACCAGAAGAACATGTGAAGAATGACATACATAAGTATTAAAATGAAATCAGTTTGCTTCACTTTTTTAGTTAGTATTGAGAATCATGAGTTAAGAGGTATAAAAAATGAAGCTACAGAGAGGATGCTGAGAAAACGTTAGTTACGAGTTTGACAGTGATAAGTTACTGATGCCGAGTTAGTAGCACAGTAAAGGCTACTAAAAAGTTTATGATAGTATCTCAAACTGGTGCTTTGATGGGAGATCTGTTATTCCAGACCAGTGTAGTAGTACAAGTAAAAATGCAACTCACCATCACAGTAACCAATTACTTGAGAGTTTTGGTTCTTGTTTTGGAAACACCCGATGAGTTGCAGAAATTAGCCAATAAAGTACAGGACTACTTGCAGGTAGTCAGAAATACTATTTGGAAAATCCAAAGGATACAAAGAAAATACAGTATAAAAACTTACGTCTGGAGCTAAAAATCAAGATCTCCAAGAAGAAGAAGACTTTCAGAGAAAAGAAGTGAATCGAGTCAACATGAATATAAAGATTTCCAACCTCCATAGGTATACCAGTCTGACCTTGCTGTAAGTTTAGAATTGCTATCTCTCTTGTTCAATTAATGTAGTTTACTAAAGGAAGTTATTGCTTATAATAGAGAGAAATATTCTATAGGTATTGATTAATAGTGTTAACTGAAAAGTAAAAATTAGAATTGTAAGAAACTAATGGTTTAGTAAATGTTTAACTATTGATGTAAAATGTATACTATGTGGAAAGACCTAATAAATATTGATGTATTTTGTTCAATGTCAGTCTTGTAATCTGTTTCTTTATTTTAATTGTAAATTACTTCAAGTTAGTGACTTGTGAGCTCCACTCAATACTGCAATCCTCAACTAAATAAATTTGATGTAATTGGAAGTACAGTCAAAGCTCCAACGACTAGTCCTGAGGGTACTGTCCATTACATATATCACTAATACAGTAATACTCAAACTCTATTTTGGATTATACTAGTAATAATAAAGATTACCTACTATAAAAGGATGCATGAATTACCAGGGAACACTTCAAATTTCCCAAAATGCCTCATATGAAGACTTTGCTCAAGAAATTATCTAACAAATGTCTTTTGAAATTCGATTAATTACATCCACCAGCACTAATAGTATTCCCCCCCCCCCCAAGTGAAGACACAGTATAAATAAAAATATATGGAATTTAATAATCGTGTTCTAAAAGTAAAAACATAATGAATAAATAATTTTAAATTTCATTACGTCAGATGGTGCACTGAATAATAATATTAATATAATAAATTATAAGTACTGATAAGGATATACTCTTTGAAATGCACCCGCAATAGCTATTTAATAGTACAAGTATTAATATATTTTACTTAACTACAAGTTGCGTTGTTACTAACAATGTTTGTGCTCAATTACAAACAAACAATGTTAGTCACAAATACAATACAAATTACAATGTGACTGTTAGTGTAAGAACATTATTAGTATTAATACTTAGCCCGATATTTGGGCTAAACAAAACGTATCATACATCACCTACCATCAAAATTAACTTCTGTTTCTTTGAAGTTGGATTAATATATAACATATATTGGCAAGGTTCTCATCGGAAAATGTTGCACACCAAAATGCTAATATTTTAATTTATACGACATGCTGTATCTACCCTGACCTAATCAACATACAACGCCACCTAGCCTAAATTCAGATTTCATTTGTAGATATATCGCCATCTGATTCTGGTATTATTGCCTATAAATTAAATATTGCATTTTTTGAAAAATATATATAGAAAATGCGTGAAATGATAAAAAGGTTGACTAGTACTAATCTGTATTAATCGTTGAGATTATATTTTATGATATTCCAATAAGAGTAATTATCATTAACTTCTGATCAAAGCAATCTACTTACATGAATCGAAAATAAAAATCAACGCAGTAATGAATATAGCTAATTTACAATAACATTCTTACTTATAAATATTTTAAAAATACATTGACTGATAAACGACGGGACTCCACAATTACAAGAAGGGTACCCTTGAAATTAGCGATATCTTTATCCGTAATCCTAAAAACAACTCACGGGGTTTAAACAGCTTAAGGGATTTATTGTTTCTTGAACTCTCATCCAATCGAGTAATCACATAGGACCCGCAGAGGCAAATTTCTTCAACATTGAAAACTCATCATCAGGTAAGCAGCGATCAAATTCAACAAGTTTTCCTT